ACAAAACTAATTTCTTTTATGCATTGAAGAATATATTTCCCAGATCTTTTCCAAATCATATATACTCTTATAATTTCTTTTAGATTTACATTTTTTTACTTCTCTAAGCTTGGGCATATTGAAAAACTAATTTCATTTAGCTTTCCAGTCAAATTACTTTTTAAAGTTTTCATGCCTTAGTTAAGTTTTTGCTGTAAATTCTGAAAGGAAATTTTTATCTCAAGAAAACTTTACACTCCGGGTTATCTTTTTTACATTATTAAAAAAGTTTCACAGCAGAATTATTTTTTTTTTCCTCTTACAAAGTCTAAGTCTTCAACCAAATTTGGCCATATATTCTCTTTTCTAAGGAAACATTGAAGAATTAAATATTTAAAGGGCAGGACACTATAAACTCAAGCTCATATAATTGCAATAAAATATATTTGATTTTAAATCAGCATTGTTTCTTTTGTAAAGTACCTGTATCAATGTCCAGACAAAAAATAATCAAAATTTAGGATGCTAACTTTGGGAGTAAGACTGGGAACATTTTTCAGCAAGGATTAAAACTCCCCTAAAGCCCATTTTCATAGATTATAAGGCAAAGTAAAATTATTATGATCTTCAGATCTGAATTACTCCTTGACAGACAATGAACTATTTCCCTGAATTAGGTCTTTCATAAATTAAGCATAAATCTAAAAAAAAAAAAAAGACAAAAAAACCCACGACAAAAAAAATCCAACCCCAAACCCAAAAAAGTTCCCAGTTCTGATTTCAACATTTTGAGAAACCGTGAATTCAATACATCAATTGACAAGTTGTCCTAGCAACAACATCATACTCCAAACATGCTACTTTCTAATCTAAATTTATCTAGCTTCAAATTTGAGACTTCTAGCTGACAAACCCCCTGCTAAACTGAAGAGCTTCTCAAAGACTTCTTTCTCATAATGGCGGCACCAGTACTGAACCCAGGGGCTACTCTGCTTCTGCTTGAGATTTCTCCAGGCATGGGCACAAGGCTGGCTTCAGCCTTTCTGCTTACAGCAGCTCTGCATGTCGTGCAAGGCAGGGCTGACAAGGCAGCTCTTCCAGCATGAGTGCCCTTCTGGACAGGGGGAGCCAGCATGGCTAGTGCCTTCCAGCCTGGGAGCCAAGGATGCCTCTGCTGGAAAAAGGGGTGCAAGGAGGGGTAGTCGGTGTGTTCCCGGTTCTGGTTTGCAAATTAATGTGTTGCTTGGTCCCAGACTGCAGATATTGTCCAATCGTGTGATAAAAACTCTTCTGGGAAGACTACCTGTCTGAACCCAGATGCTGGAGGGATCCACATTTCACATGTCTACACATATATTCTCAGTAGCCACCCTCCACCCTGCTCAGGCAGACAGGGGCACAGGGTGAGTCCCTTGGTGCTGCCTGTGTTTGAGCAAGGGCTCTGTGTTACCTTGCAGCTGGCAATTTACTGAACAACAAACATACTGAACAATTTATATGGTGCATACGTATGCTCTGTGAGCATGTGAATGCTGGGAGCGTGCAATCAGCTTCACTGTTGGTTGGTCCTGGGGGCATGGACTTGCAGCTGCCACCCCCACTGCAAGATTGGCAACTCCTAACCAGTATGTCTGCTGCTGGACCAGAGACTTATTTCCTGCAGACCCACCCAGTGTGATTCTCAGTATTTCCAGAGCAGCAGCTCATCAGGACAAAGTTCTTCATCCTGTGGGAATGGGCTGCATTCCTAAATTCTTTGCTGAGAGGCACTGTTAGTAACCTGTGAAGATTTTTCCTGATCAGTATCCAGTCATTCTTCTGCCTCCACCTGTTTGTTCCCTCCTTCTGTAATTTGTGCATCATTTGAAGATTGTATCAGTAATTATTTCCTCCTCATAACCTTGTTAAATAGCTCAGACCCAAAAGCTGATCCCTGTGAATCAACTGCTGTAGTCAGTTGAGTCCTGCTTATTATTACACTGAGCCGTTATTTAGATAACTTTTAACAGACTTTATGTATAGCGTGTAGACTTAGAAAACCAAGAATATTACAGCAACAGTACCTTTACAAGTAAAATCTGTATACATCAGAAAATACCTCCAATTACTTTGACAAGATCTGTTTTCCAGAAATCGGTATTGATTTGCATTAATTAAATTACTCTATTTCAATTCTTTATAAACTGAGACTCACATTAGATGTTTCTCTTTTTTTTTTTCTCAGACTGATTTTATGATGACAAACTTATAAATAAATAGTTTATTCTATTTATTCCTTTTTGGAATTTCCTTTTATTCCTATTGGCATTCATTTTTCTTCCAGATGATTCCTGAATGTCCTCCATGTCTCAATACTTTTGAAAATCAACCTTGAGAGTGTAGAGAACTCCTCTGACACTTCTGTTATAATTCTTTGATGCAAATTACATAGACACACTGATGGTACATCCAAGTGAAAGGGAAAAAGAGCTTAAAATCCTTCAGAGTAACTTTTGTAATGGAAATTTTTTTATCATCAACTATGATGGGACTATATATTATCTGGATGTTTCTCAAAAGACAACAGAGATACTAGAGGAAACCTTTTACTTTGTCCAATGATAGTTATTGTGGATTTGTTATATTTTATTTTATTCCATTTATTCCAATACAAAGAAGCCATGCCCCAAACAGAAAATTAGCCACTCTTTGCTGATTTGCTACCCTGGAAGCTTTGGGTCCATGACTTAGGACAGTACATTGACACATCTGTGCCATAATGGGCACGGATAGGATCATTCCCAGGAGGCCTCCTGAAGCTCCACAGTCACATTAGCCCACAGCCAACACATAGCAGGGAAAGGCATAGAAACATTAATTTCACTAAGCCGCTGAAGGTTTGCAATTGCATTCAGCTCACTTCACTATTTCTTTTTTTTTACATTGTGGTTGGTCACACGTGCACTGCAGAAAACTGAAAAGGAAGCTGAATCAACAATCTCACAGCCAACACAGGGAAAGGCATAGAAACATTAATTTCACTAAGCCGCTGAAGGTTTGCAATTGCATTCAGCTCACTTCACTATTTCTTTTTTTTTACATTGTGGTTGGTCACACGTGCACTGCAGAAAACTGAAAAGGAAGCTGAATCAACAATCTAAACAAAATCCACTCAACGGATATCTTAACCCTTCTCCACCCACCTTAGACCTGAGGCATGCATTACTCCTATCCATAGTGTGGAAACACAGCTCAACTGCATTGCTTCCACTTACCCTGGCTTTACGTAGGGAAAGAGATATTTTTCCCCGCCTCGGTCTTTAATACTTTTTATTATTCTGAGATGCTAACTTCTTATTGTGTTGATCAGAAGAAGTACACATAGTAATCCCGGGTGATTAACTCCATATTTGAAGGGATAAAAAAGAAAGGAATAAAGAAAAAAGGGATAAAAGAGCTGTCTCTTCTCTTTGTAAAGAGAATGGACAGCTAAGGATTTATGTGTATTGTAGGCTTAGGAGACATTCTTTGTTTGCTATTACAGGTTTTACTTTATTTTATATTAGGTTTTAATCTTAATCAGAAGTTTGTCTTTCCAGAATTTACAGCTATAATTAAAAAATGAAATCATTTGGAATATGGGTAACATACAGCATTTGGTAAATTTGACATCTTCCTTTCAATGTTCATTAATATGTGCTGTTAGAGTTACAATATTGCTGACAGCCATGGTCTTTTGAAAACTAATTACAAACTTTTTGCTTAAAATATTACATAATAATACTAAAGAAAATTTCCTGGTAAAAAATCCTAATATTTTCTCAATATTTCAAATCCCTGTTTGCATTCTGGCTTACAAGCTTTTAACTTTTATGATGCAGAATTATATTTTTTGGGTGTGTTTTATGATTAATTGCATCTGCAAAGCTCATGTCTGCTGATTGTTTACATCTGTAATCAGCTGTGCAATCAGACAACTAAAGGAGTTGAGTAACTCAACTATTTTATATAGACTTCCAAAAAAAACCTGCAAGTACAAGAAGGGAAAAGTATCGTGCTATCATTGCTAAACTATAACCAAAGAGTTCACAGATATGATTTGGACTTTAGAAAGGGGTATAACTCCATAACGGTGACAATTCTTAGTTCAATCATTTGGATACACAGACAGTTCTGCTCTTCTGGTACAAGGAGCTCTGTGCACTGAAGGTGGCTACTGATTCCTAAGGGTATTCAGCAAGGTCTGAATTACCATCTGGCTGCTCCGCAGTGATCAGTTGATCACTGATTGTATGCACATTTTGCTCATAGTTGTTGATACCTTTTTCCTGTCTTTCCCTTTGGAGAACATGACTAATGGCAGCTATTTTATCATGTAGGAGCACTTCTAGCAGACAATAGTCTAGTTATTCACCCTGACTGCACATAGCAAATGTGGCCCACGCAGTGGGTTGGCTTTGTATTTCCAGGAGTCCCAGTGTATTAATCTTCAACAGCAAAAGGGATTTATGTTCTGACCACTAGGGATAACTGTGCCAGCATGCTGGGCTGTAAACTGAGAAATCTGGGGATAAGATTCACTGTAAAACAAAGATCTAGGTAGTGTTTCCCCAAAAGACCCCTCGATGAGGTGCCAAATTTTACCTTTTGACAAATAATCTCAGGGTGGTTTTAATTTAATTAGTAGAAGGGACTTCTCTTTTCACATGAAATGGCTTGTGTTTTCCCTAGGTACCCTTTGGGTCAGAATCTGATATCAAAGACAAGATTGATCTCTAATGCATAAGTGCAAACAACTGCGTTTACTTGGAATTCTTGGAATCTTCAGTTTTGAATGGATTGTCTAAAGTTTTATCAGACATTTCTTTGGACATTTTACTTACAAAGAGATGATTATTGAATAAAACAGATAAGAATAATTTTTTTCTTTTAATACAGGTACAAACCTCAAATATTAAAAAAATAAGAATTATTTGGCAAGAATATTTGACAGGTTTTTTAATTATCAAGGCAGATAGGATATTTATCCAGATGAACACCCATACATTTGAAGAGAGCATTTATTGTAACATTTTTGACATAAACCTAACAGAACCAAGAATAATACCTCAACTGTAGAACCAAGAAGGGAAGATGGCATTTAATCACTAGCATTAGAGTCACATATATGTTGACGACTTTTTACCTTCAAAGATGAATTCATACGAGCCATAGTGTTCAATCACGTCAAAAGTATTGATCCACTGTTAGGAATTTAAAACATATTTTAATCCTTGCATTTAACCTTTAGCACATGCTAAACCCAAATGTTTATACGTGTCAAGGGTAGGGAAAAAAGAATGTAACAGAGGAGAAAGGGAGATGGGCTAAAGGAAATTACCTGCAAATACTTGTGTAATGTACAATCCATTTAACAGATGATTTTATCAGTTGCAATTAGGTGTACCTCTCATGAGAGATATTTTTCTTTCATTCTAGCCATCACAGTCAAACAAGAAATGCGTGTTGCACCCTTCCAGTCTTATGACTACCACTGAACCAGGTAGGAAGATGGTATCATGATTTTTCATAGATCATCATAGTCTGCTGTATTGTTTTTAAATTTTCTATAGAATTGTATGAGCAATTCTATAATTCATATTCATTTACATCAATTAAATGTTGATGAAGTTTGCCTAGCATAATGGCACAAAGTGGATTAGACATTTAGCTATGGAAAAAATTCAGTGCAAAGCAGCGTTGGAAGTCTTCCCATAAAACCCAGCTCTCCTGGAGTCAGAGGTTTGTCTAGTTTCTAATGTTCACTTCCCCCTAACTGAGGCTTAGAAGCAGCATGTCTGAGAAAACACATTTTATTGGCATTTTGCTGAAATGACCATTTTGTTCTGCAGTTACTTAGCTCTTACTTAAAAAAAAAAACCCACCCCAACAAAACCAAACCACCAAAAACCAGACAAACAAAAAACCTTCAAGCCCAAACCAAACGAAAAAAAACCAACTAATAAGACATCTTAATAACAACCAACAAGGCCAACACTGTGGTAGTAACTTCAGATGGCTTCAGATGGAAGGGTGTAAGCAGGACATTTTGTAAATTATTGAACTAAGAATGCAGGGAGTTGTGCAAAAAATCACGGGCAGACTAGAGCAAATAACTATGATAGCACCCGATGGATAGTCCCAGTTACCTTTGTGAGAGAATATCTCAGATACTCAGTATGTAATCATTCACAGATATACTCTCCCAAATCTGCAGTCTTTGGTGTGGTCATTATAGCAATTAAAAGCTGATACAATACACATCCAGATTACCTAGAAAATAGCTAGACTGGGTACTGATACTACCATAGAAGCTCAGAGTAGATAAAGCTGTAAATCTTAGATCAAAATTGAGGTAAATATTAATGCAGCTTGCTCTGAACATAAGGCTGCTTCGTGTTAGGTGCTGTTATTTGCTAAACATCAGTAACATTTGCTAAGTAGTTTACACCTGGTTCAGTGTCACTGGAAAGGGGAATGTAAGCCTCCCTGTGGGGTGCTCATACTAAGTGTTTAGTCCTTTAAGCAGTCTCTCTCTTTAAAGCAGAATTTATAGTGATAGGGGTTTACTTCCATTTGCAGGGAAGACGGGTATCTAAGTAAATGTCATTGAGAAATATCCTGTATTTTTTAAAGCCCATGGAGTCTCAGCTTGAAAGGAGAAGAGCCAAACAGATCTCATAATCATAAACGTCTTCTGTGTCCAAACTGGTGATTCATTTGACTGAGAAGGCTTGAGTCAACTAAATGGGCAACATGCCATTCTGCTTCTCCATTCCTTCCTTCCTCCCTGCTTTTCTTCTTTCCTTCCTTCCTTGAGCTACATGTGGCAGTTCACTCCCCTTCAGCAAAATTTCACACAGGTGTGAACTTCACTAAAGACAAAGCACACTCTGCTGAGTTTATAAGAAGTATTAATTACATATCACATACAGCAATGGTTTTAAGAAGTGCACAGATGACAGCTCCTTTCACCCAGATGTCAAAAAGTCCTTTGTGTAGGAAGAGGTTTACAAGCTGTTCCTAATACAGTTGAGTCTTTACTAGAAAATCAGGGCTGAAAGGACCTATGCAATTTCATATACAATTTCACAAACCACCTTCCTTCAACCATACCCACAAAAAATTGAAAATAATTTGATAAAATAGCCATGGAATGTGTTTAGTACACTCCAGACAAATAAATTCATTTCTGGACACAAATTTCAGCTATGTATATACTCTGTAACTTTGACAAAATCATCACCGACCAGAGTTACACAATACAGGCTAAGGAAATAGGACACGATGAAATTATAGGATTAATAAATTTACTTACAGTAAGACTTGCTTTAGAGAGGGGAAAAAATCCACCGTATTTTCCTGCCTCATATTGCACTGAAAAACATAAAGTCACTTTCCTAATGTATTTGGTCTGAAGAAAGGGAACGCCATGGGTTTTACAATGTTTCAGATGAAGCCATCAATAAGAACAATGTTGAGGGCCATAATCAATAAGTTTACAAGGCTGCAGTCATAGGGCACCAGGAAATCCATTTTGACTTAATCAGTTTTCCAATTTTTCAGTTAAAATATAGCACTTTTGGATCATGTCCAAGCAATGAAGACACAGTAATAAGATGATTCAATACAGTTTGCACAGTGTTCAAAATTTTTAAATCAAGATGGTATTTTAGCAAGGATTAACACTTCGTTTCCCTCATCTTGTGTACCCCATTCCTCCCCCCTTTTTTGATACTGCAATGAAAACTGTGCTCTCCCTGCTTAGAACTGGCTTATAGCATCCATGTCTCTGTGGTTATTCTGCAGCAGGTTAAATGTGTGAAATATTCCTATGTGATAAAACTCTTTGCTGAAATTACATTCTGCAACAGCAAAAAGACATTTCACAAGATACAACACTATTGACCGACTTTCAGCATTTTCTGAAATGGGAAAACATTACCTTTTTTTTTTTTATTTATTTTATTTTTTCCCAGTGTAGCTCTTACCTTCTCTTTCTTGAGCATAAGACCCTCGTCCAGTGCTTGAGGTGCTCAGTGTCTTAGCTGACTAAAGAGCACGAGAAGCTGCATCTGGGTCAACCACTGCGAACAGCGGTTATATTGGTATGTCACTGAGATGCTTGTTTGCATTTTTGGCAACATATACAGAGAATTTTCTGCAGCTGAAGCCTAACTACATTTCACATATTTTTGTTTACCTCTAAAGTTCATATGTAATAGAGAAAACTGTGAGAACAGAGATAAAATTTGTGTATCTGAGTTTGTTATGCCAAAGCTGTACTTCGATTAACAGTCAGAAAAACTCCTCTCCTTTTCCTGGTCTCAGGTACCCTCTGGCAGAATCAAAAGAGGATCAGGATGGTTGACCAATGTGTGTCTTCCTCTTGCCCTGGCACATTTCTACCCCACCTTTGGAAAAAGTCATTACGAATTAAGCTATTTTATGGAACTATTATATTTACATTCCCCAAACAAGCTACATCATTGTATGAGAAGGCTTTGGCAAGTGAATTTTTCTATTATTTGTAGATCTATGTGTTCCCCTATTAAACACTTCCTTTCCTCAGAAAGACGGCAGATGATCTGGACAATGAAACTCACGTTTGAAGTTCCTAATTTTTTGATTTTATCACATTTGAGTGTAAGTTAGTGCAGTTTTACTTGCAGCCATACAGCAATTTGGATTGGATACTGTTACTAGCACACACATTGCCCACACCCTAGGTATGTAGGTAGTAGTAATCAATTAGATTAATAGTGAGACATCCAGATGATACAGTGGAAACTGCTTTCTCAGATCTACAGGAACTTAATTAAACCTTTGTTCTCCAACTTCAAAATTATCTAAATGAGAAGCAGTAGCTGGCTATATAGCGTTATTGCCTTTTAAGACATGAGGAGTAAATGGCACCAGCACAATACACTTTTAACCATGATATCATGGGTAAAAGACTGTTACCAGTACATTTCCAATATCCCCTCCTATGGGTTTCCATGGGGGTGTTGTTGACTTCAAAGAAATGAAGAATTCACTCCGTCGATATTCAGTTTGAGCTAAGGATGATGGAGAAAACTGGTATGCAGCAGTTTTTTCCAGTTGTCTTCAAGCTGATGACATACTCTTCCAGTTTTGTAACTGTAGCTTTGTCAAAACTGAAATGACTTGGAAGTCAAAGCTGAAATGATTTCACAATCTTACCAGCATCTGAACTGAGGCATCTACTGATATATTTTCTACATTTATTTGTGCTCTGAGGCTAGTGAAGCAATTTACACATCTTCTTTGATTCTGGTTTTTAACTGCTTCGTTTGCTTTGGGCCTTGGTTTTAAGGAACATGCTTCTGGAGGTTGACTGTTATGTCTATAAATATCAATGCCTCATAACACAATGTCTTTGAATATGTTTTTGACCTGGGTTTTGCCTCTCTTAATGCAAAGATTTTCCCTCCAGAATCAGTGGGCTAAGGACAAGTAGAAGATTTGTAGAAGAGCTGCAAAAAGATGGATGAGAGCTGAAATGCTTTCTCCCTGCTGAGGTTTCTTTTCATCACGAGCGCGAGCCAACTCCTAACATTTTGAATACAATGGCTTAGAGCCGAAGGGCTGAAGAGTCAAGAACAGAAGAGACCAACAGCCTTCCTTATGTCATCCGCTGCCATCTAAAATCTATTAATTTTGTTGTAACTGAGCTACCTGGTGTGGACACAGCCACCAGCACTCAGTAAGCCCTGCTGCCAGGGCAGGATCCTCAGCTCCTGGAAGTTATGGTTAGGGCTTTGATTTTGAGTTCTCATCTTCCCTCTGTTCTCCACTGTAACAAAGTGATTAAACCCAAAATTTGTGAAGTGTCAGCCAAAGAAAAGGTAAAGTGTGGATGACAGTCATATTTCTTTTGGGACAGAGAAATGTTCTGAGAGAGCTCCTTTCTGTCCACCTAATTATTTTCATTTATTTCCACTGATTTGGCAAAAAAACAGTTCTACCCACTCAATGTCAAAACACAGGAAGTTTAGTGAAGTTACAAAGTGGTAAATTAGAAACAAATAAATGGAAACAAATTCATTAGTTTTTTTTTTTTTAAAGTATTATTGTTTAATATTATCCTAATATTAAAATATTAGAAATAAATAAATTTTTCATATGGAATTTAGTGTCTAGCTAGTGGTTTTGGTGTCTAAATTTATCATATTTTTTTTTTAGAAAACGAGTGGATTTCTGTACGCATAACCAATATCTAGAGCTAGTAATAAAGCAGAAAATGTCAAGATTCATTCTCTAATTGTTAAAGATACAGAGGAATCTTAATGCAGTGGAAAACCACTTTATTTCTTCTTACTATGAAGTTTCTTGCAACTTTTTTCTGATTTATCTAGTTTAGCTTCTGCTGAAGACATTTTTTGGAATATATGCAACAGGAGCCTGATGTTGGCCAGAGGTTTCTATGGTTTAACTATAGCATTCTTTAGAAAGACATCTAATCCAAATGAGGACCAAACATCTCACCTTCTTCCGATCTTTATTTGTAGAAGGCAAATGCCAAGCTTTGCAGACTGCATTTTGAAATTAATCCTGTACCAATGCAATGAATTTTCTCTTGAATATATTTGGTGAAACTCCTGTTTATGTATATCTTTGCAACTTGCAAATTCTATCAAGATTAATCCCACTGGAGTTACAGCAAAATGTAAAACCTAATTCACTTGTGAGGCAGAAAGGAGTTCTAGTACAACACTTCACACATGACTAACTGGCCTTTTTTTTATTTTCCCATTATCTATATTTTCATGGCTGAATTTAGCTCCATCTTGCTGCACTTATCCTACTTTCCAATGGTAAAAACTCGATCCTGAAGTTATGCCTTTATTTTGTGGAGGCTGGAATTCTCAGGATTTTCCTGAAGTACATGTTCTATATTAAGCCAAAATAAAATTAAACATATTCTTGAAATTAAGCTGGTGCTTAATTTCTATGCTTAATATAATTGAATTTAGCATGCACTTCAGTATTTGTCGGGACTGAAGTTTGCTTGCTGAGTTAGAGGACAGAGTTTTTGGATTAGTTTTTAACAGTCCTCTTCATACAAACACAGATGGAGCATTGAAATGTCCTGATTGCTCACATGTCCTCATGATCTGTAGCCAGGATCTGGTATGGATTTTTTTAGTCCAGTCAAAACAGGACTTCAACTGCAGAGCAGCAGATGGAAGGAAGGGATCCAAGTTTTTAATCCTTTTTTTTTTTTCTTTTTCAACAGATGTTGTTGAGATGATCGAGCTACAGAGCCACAAATCCAACCACAAAGTGAGTAAAGAAATATATACAAACATATGTTGATAGTTGGTATATGGTTAATCAGGCAAGCTGCAGGCACCTACTGCTGACATAAATATCCATTTTTCGTATGATGGAGATGAAAGGATTTTTAAAATTACTATAGGTGAAGAACTTAATTTTGTGTACTCTTTTATTTCTTACTCAGCCAACAGAGAAGCTAACCACAACACTGATACTTCCTTTAATAACAGTCAAATGGGTCAGCACAGGACCAGCTGTTGGTCAACAGCAATCAGTAAAGTAGATGGAAGGGAATTATTAGTAAAAGGAGGGGAAGGTTATAATGTATGGCTCAGGTTCACAAATTTCAGTTTGGGGCAATAATCTCAACTGTCAAGTGGAATACTAAATGCATGAAAGAATAATTGTATGGGATAGCATTTACTGTTGAGTTAAGAAGTGGTAGTTTTCTGACTATCAATTCTCAGCATAAGATAAGGCTATTAAATTAGAATAGCAGGGTATGCTGATCTCATCATAGTGGTCATGATGAAGTAATTCTGATTTTGTCAGTGATATATTTATTAATGTCTCTACATTTTTAAAAAGAAAATTCAAGGCTGATGACAGTTCCTTCAAAGTAAACTGTAAATGAGATGTAATTCATTTTTTTTCATTTTTATTTTGTGTAAAACTCCTCAGTTAAATTAAATATATGCAAAACTTTGGAAAAGTTACTAATTACAGCTTATTAAAGCTTGTTCTACCTAGTAACTTCCCTGTTGGAATTCAGCAATTATGAACGAAGGGGATCCCAACAGGCACCTGTTTTACACTTGAAAGCTCAAAATTATTGCTCTACAGTAACACTTTGCGTTATGCAACACAAGTTGAAGGAAGAATTATACAGCAAATTCTCTGTTATCTTCTCTGGAAAGACCAGAAATGGAATTCATATTGGATGGGATAAGTTGTTACTACTGGACAAACACTGCTGACTGCAATATCCACGGACCTAAAGAAGTAACATAATATGCAAAATACCTATACTGAAACAATATTTACCCCTTTTTAAAAAAAAATGCTTCCAGATCCGTAGATGAAAAGCATTTAACTATAAAACATTATACTATGTTTTACACGGTATATGTATATATACTAATATGTACTAAAAATCTTCAAGTATCATCTAGGTCCTATTTGACTGGGGGCAACCTCATCTAGTTGGGGGTGTCCCTGCTGACTGCAGGGAGGCTGGACTAGGTGACCTTTGGAGGTCCCTTCTGGCCTGGACAATTCTATGATTCTATGACTGACCATACTGAAAAAAAGTTTCTTAATTCTTTGAGTTATGAACAGACCACAGTAACAGAAAAAAGAAAAGTCTACATAGAAGATGTAGAAGTTTGGTCTTTTTTAAATCCAGGAGCAAAGAAATGTAAAGAAATTCACCTTGAATATTGAAGGAGAAGAAAACAAAATAAGAAAACACAAGAAGTACAACAGAAACCCTGCAAATAACTGCAAAAAAAGCCAATGACCACAGGATACAAAGGGCATTAGGTGGGGAAGTACAGGATGAAGAAATGAATAAACATGTTGATAGCAATAACTGTATAAAAAAAAAATGTAATGGGATAAAAGCCAATCTAGAACAGATTTCTGGTTAAGATCTAAACAGTAACTCATTCAAGTGGAAACAGAACAAGAAGCTTCTATGATGTGCAGATGCATTGGGTTTGTGTGGCAAGGTTTTGGTGCAGAGGGCTATGGGGGTAGCTTCTGTGAGGAGCTGCTAGAAGCTTCTCCATGTGTCCTAGAGAGTCAATGCCAGTTGGCTCCAAGACGGATCAGCTGCTGGCCAAAGCCAAGCCTCTCAGTGACGGTGGTAGTGCCTCTGTGATAACGCATTTAAGAAGAGGAATAAAAACCTGGGGAACAGCAATGGCAGCTGGAGAGAGGAGTGAGAATATGTGAGAGAAACAATTCTGCAGACCCCAACGTCAGTGAAAAAGGAGGGAGAGGAGGTGCTCCAGGTGACAGAGCGAAGATTCCCCTGCAGCCCGTCCCCCTGCAGCCCATGGAGTTTTAAGAGTGGAGCAGATCTCCACTTGCAGCTTGCGGAGGACCCCACACTGGAGCAGGTGGATGCACCTGAAAGAGACTGTGACTCTCTGTAGAGCCTGTGCTGCAGCAGGCTCCTGGCAGGACCTGGGATTTCATAGGGAGAAGCCCACGCTGTAGCAGGTTTTCTGACAGGACTTGTGACGCTGTGGGGGACCCATGCTGGAGCTGTCTGTTCCTCTAGGCCTGCACCCTGTGGAAGGGACCCATGCTGGAGCAATTAATGAAGAACTGCAGCCCATGGGAAGGACCCATGATGGAGAATTTCATGGAGAACCATCTCCTTGGGAGGTAACGCACACTGGAGCAGGGGAAGAGTGTGAGGAGTCCTGCCCCTGAGGAGGAAGGAGAGTTAGAGGTAACGCGATGAACTGACTGCAACCCCCATTGCCTCCCTCCCTGTGCCACTGGAGGGGAGGAGGTATAGAATTTGGGAGTAAAGTTAAGACCAGGAAGAAGGGAGGGGTGGGGAAAGGTGTTTTAAGATTTTGTTTTTACTTCTCATTATCCCACTCTAATTTGATTGGTATTAAATTAAATTAATTTCCCCAAGTGGAGTCTCTTGCCTGTGATGGTAACTGGTGAATGATCTCTCCCTGTCTTTATCTCAACCCATGAGATATCTCAACCCATTTCGTTACATTTTTTCTCCCCTATCCAGTTGAGAAGAGTGGCTGTGGCAGGCACCTGGCATCCAGCCAGGGACAGCCCACCACAGCAGAGAACAAGGCTGGATTCACTTCACAAGACGAAATGCTGCTTTAATTTAGCAGTTATCACGAGGACAAATCGTAAACATTCCAGTCAACTTTCAGAGGTACGGTGTAGAAGACTTGGTGTTAACAGAATTTTTGTGCTCTAGTTTTGAGGAAGAGAGGAAAAGATGCAAAAGAATCATAAAACCATAACAAAATTTCATTCCACTTTCCCAACCTGCAGTCAAGTGCATGTTCATAGAGATTAGGCACTAATCATATGCTGGTAAACCAAACAGTTCTGGTTTGAAATCTTCCATGGAGTTCAGCAGTAGTGTTGCCTCCTTTTTAAGATCTGGATTTAATTTTTCATCTGGAATCATAACCACTTGCATTCCTGCTGCCAGGGCTCCTTTCACTCCAAGTGGCGCATCTTCAAACACAAGACACTGAGAAACAAGGAGGTAAGGGGAAAAAAATAAAAAATAATGTTACTATGAACTTCTACTCTTTTGATTTAAAAGAGAGAATGATCACAAGTAAAACTTAGCAAGAAAGCTAAATTCAATTCCTGGCTTAGACACCCCTAATTAGAACAAGGGCAAACCTCAATTTGAACATCTGCATGGTAATTAACCTTAAATTAATTTAAATTCAAAAAAAAAAAACATCAACAGGCATACTTAAATCCAAGCAACTGGTTATCCAGATGTTTCTAGGTGATTTGTTTTATAGGGACGGGTTTAAGCACAAGCTTGAAGTAAAGTTAAGCAAGTGCTTAAATACCTTTATAAGCAGGCAATTTAACTCTTCAAGACCAACTTTACAACCTGCAAAATGGCAAAAGCAATGCTTTTCCTTACAGGTGTGTCATTTTCTACATACACGAGAGCAGGAAGACTGCATTACTTAGGTCAATATTAGGACTTTGGATGAGTGGAGAATAAGACAGAAGGCACTTGTCAGAAGAGCACTGTCAAATTAATTCTCTATTCACTTAATTCTTCCAAAGCAATGGTGAGAAAGAAAATGAGAAATTATATTGGAAGGTTACTTTTAGAGAAAAGACACTTTAGTCAGGTAAAAGTTCAATTTCTTACAACAATTACTCAATATTGCAGCTTGGAAGCAAAGTTGTTAAAAATAATCAATACATTATTTATGTGAATTTTGTTGTTTAACATCAGAATATTGAGAAACAAATATATAACAAATCATCTAGTCTGAACTTTTATATAACAAAAGATAATGCTTCTGGAGTTCATTTCAGAATGTATAAAATAAAACATCTCTTCCTAACACTACCCTATCCATAGTCTTGAGTTTGAATTTCTGGTCATGGACAATCCAATGCAACCTTTGGCATCTAACCATCCCAAAAATTCTGACCTCTTCTGACAAGTGGTTTCTAACACTTCTGCAATTCAGACCATTTATTATTGATATTATTAGCACTGCTACTACTTACTACTAATACCAAAATTACTGCCAGAAGTCATTTCAGTAATTCAACATAGATGTTGGGATGGTTAGTGCAATTTTCCCCACACCCTTCAGACAGTGCTTTATCATAAATTTCTCTCATGTCCATTAGGCCTTTCTCTACAGTCATTACCAAATCCCTTCCAAATCCCATCCAGGATGGATTATCTCATGTTTTTCTTCACAATACAATAGGCTGTGGCAACTAATGCAAATGGGTAAAAGTAATGATTTGCTAAACTTAAATGTTTAACTTTTGACTGAATCTAGATATGACATACTGGGAGAACATACAATATCACACTGCATCTTTTAAGCTCTCTAACACACAACTATTTCACTAGGGAAAATTAGGGATGCACAGCTTTTGTCTGTTCTGGCTGTGCTCTAAGAGAACCAAGTTGCAACCTGCAAAAACTTTACAACATTCAAAGAAAACATTTGTGCAATATGCATTTAACATCTCCTCTGTATATACCCATCTGTATCAGAGACTGTGGAAGAGGAAGAGGGAATGAACCTTTTCTTTCTGCTTTCTTTTCTTTTTTAAGTACTGATTCTTGGCCATCAACATGCCAGCAACCACATGGAGTCTGCCAAGAGAAGGTAAGAGGTGCTTTCTACCTTGCATGTAATAAAATAAAACTTAATTAATGATTTTAGTAAGCCAATGGAATCACACCAATCTCTTTTGTGCTCATTTCCTTTATACAGTCACTAAATTCCAGTTTGAATGATGTGAGATTTTCAAATGTTGATCATTATCACTATTACTAATTACAAATATGTAATCAGCTGATCCTGCAAAGCTTGGAACAATTGCTATTAGAACAGAAGCACGGTTCTGCCTCCAGGCTTTGTACTTAATAGCACCTTAGTTTGTGACTCTAGGCACTGTGAGGATAGTAAATGAAACCCTGACAGGCTTTGCCTTTTGAAGAGTAAGCTTAAATGTTGCACAGAACAGCATTATTAAGGCCTTTTAGAAACCTTTCCTAATCCAGCCCATACAAAGAAATGTACTTCAGTGCTCTGCCTTGAAAGACCTAATTGACTTCCATGATGTCACTAAGCTTACTGTATGAGAGGAGCCGATGATTATGGAAGGCAATATGAATAATGAAAAGCTTAACTAATTCCCTGGAACTAGAAGCAATTAAAACTCTTAATTACCAAAGAAGCCAGGCAAATGACCCATAATTACAGTGGCTTTAATGTTACAGGAAATAAGTGTACTAGGTCTTCCTCCAGTCTTTCTTGCTACTGACTCCTATTGTCAACAGCACAGCAACGTTTTTTAATGGATGATGAAAGGTTTACAGAGGTTCACATACAAAATGGATTTATTAACTTTGCTGCACAGAGATGTTATAAACTGTGCACTGTCCTGGCCCACCCACATACTAAATCTAGAGATATGAAAGCAGCCAAGTTCTCCCCCATTTTGCATAAGTATTGCAATATCAGCATCACTCCAACTGAGAGAGACAGATGAGATTTATACAGACTTCAGCTGAGATTCTGGCTGCTTCTCCACATTATTTCTAAAACTTGTGTCACTGATCAATACTACTGCTATGAGATCTCTCAAAAGGTCATACTAATATAGGACAGTTTTCACTTTGGAATGAACTAGATGCTTAAAAATGTATAGTAGTAAAGCACATTAATTTATATATCATTCTATGAATCTAGAAAAGAAAAATTAATCACTTAACCAAAGGAAGAAATAATAAAATCACTGCAGCATCTCATTACCTCATCTTCCTACATGAAATTCAAAAATAAAAGAGCACTAGCTATATCCTTGATATATACAGTAGACTCTCTCCAACCTATATACTGTAAATGTCTTGATGGAATACTTATGTAACTAACAGGGATATCCATAAGTGCTATTGCTATTAGTGATAACCAAGAAGTCTGGAAAGATAAAAGACTAAAATCGGTTCTGAAATTGAGATTTTGAAAAACCTGTGTAGATAATGTCGAATGAATATCCTTGAGCACATATGACACTACTTTGTCTAAAACAGAATGACGAGACTAAAGCTGGTATAATTGATACACTTAGAACTCATCTGCAAATGAAACACTACCATCTATTGTTCTATAAAGAAAAAATGAAAAGAAAATTTTCATCGTCTTTAAAATGGATAAATATAGTCTCAAATTCTTTCATACTATAGTAGAATCACAGAATCATAGAATGGTTTGCGTTGGAAGGGACCCTAAACATCTTCTAGTTTCAAACCCTCCTGCCATGCACAGGGACACCTCCCACTACTTATTCAAAGCTCCATCCAACCCAGCCTTGAACACTTCCAGGAATGAGGCATCCACAACTCATCTGGGAAAAAAATATTTTACTTAGAAAAATCTTCCATTTTCTGGTTCTGGTTCTGGTTCTGGTCCTGTCGGGATAGGCCCTTAATCTCAGTGCAAACATCTACAGACATGGGGACTAAACCACCAGATTTTAGCACTTTGTCTTTGAACCAGAGTCTTAATATTAAGAATATTGAGTATTTCATTCCCTGTCATAAAACGAATGAGAAGAAAAGGAACTGAGCATTTGTTTGTTCCTCTTCTTCCCCAAACATTTTCTGTTAATATATTATTATTTTCACATTGTATTCTCCATATGCTCCATGAAAAACAGCCACTATGGAATTAATGAGAAAATAAACTTCAGTTTTCATTTTTTTTTTCTGTTACCACTGTTACATTTACCTTGTGATCTGTTGAAACTGAAGCCAACATGGTTAAGTCTTTCACTGAGCAAAAAATACTTAAGAAAACCTTCAGTCCCCCTAAGTCTTACACAGAACTAAGTTAAAACTACCCTGTCTTCTGAGGAACTAACAACAGAGTCACTGTCCCACCAGACATTAAAACTCCATTTCAAAACCACTGCATTTATGTACTCTGACTTTAAACAAACAAACAAACAAAAAATCAAAAGGCATTCTGGGGAAAAAGTGGCTAAAAATTAATGATGAATAATTAATTTTATTCTTCCCTCCTGCTGAATGAAAGTAAAAAGGGGAAATGGTGGAATTTTGAGGTTTCAAGTCACAGTTTCCAAAGGTAAGCACTCTGAGAAGTTATCCTTATGTTCATTCCTCAGCTTCTGAACAGGACCAGTCTATTTCTATGCTTGGTGAGAAGGTGCAGTAGAATATTATTGTATCTTCTGTCCTCAAATCACAGAGAAATATGTGATATATTAAGTTTGGGACTTCTTATGGATTGCTTATTATACTTCTGTTACTTTATTTATCGGTGATCTTTCTCCATGTTCAAATCCACTGGTCAAAAGTGTGACGTGTTATTAGTAAAATTTGCACTCCGGAAACATTTGGCAACCGTATACATTAATTTACATACATATACATGGACAATGCAGTCTTCTATAAGCATTTAAGGCCTAATTCAAATTCCATCATATCAGTAAAAAAGTCCTTATTGATTTCAACAGGCATCACAGTAAGCCTCAAAACAGGCTGCTGGAGGAAATCCACCAAGTTCAGCCAGCTCATGTTGATTTCAGAAAAAAAACATTGTTCATCTCTGCAAACCAAAGGGTGGTCAGACCTTTCATTTCTACAGGTAACTTCTTGACTGTTCATTCCCAAAAGTATTTTTACTTTCCTCATTGCGAAAAGCTAGCTAATACTCTGTGGTCATAACTAAAAGCTAAGTAGTATCTAAGAAATAAAGTATCAGTCTGAAAGACACTACTACCGTAATCATGGGGTTTGTTTTGTTCAAGAACTTTTATCTCTTTTTCCTTGCCAACTTAATTTTTTCACATTTTCAAAGTAACTCCACTATTGGCCAACTGTGTTACTAGTGTGAGCTACCCAGAAATAATATGTAATGTATAATATATATGTATATGTATATACATATATATATAATGTATAATAATTCAATAATGTAATTCAGAATACAACACAGGCCC